GCACCAAGAATGACCAAGGGGGCGTGATCATGGACCAGGACGAGTACATTAAACAATTAAGTCCTATCACACACCCCGAACTCACAGGAGCGGCGGCCGACGCCAAAGCCACCAAACTCATCGCCGACATGTTTGTCAGCCTGCGAGGAGCCCTCGCCTACGCCCTTCTTACTCAAGTCTGGCCCATGGCGCACGTGGTCTCTCCTCAGAGAATCCAAGAGCCCACCAACCTACAAGTCAGACGATTGAATGCTGCGACGCGAAAGCTGATCAGCAGCCCGAAACGCATCGCCTTCCCTCGGATGAAACCGACGAGCGAAGTTGACATACACAGTGATTCGGGGCATCGGGAGCTCACCGGGGAGGAGGACGATGAGACCAAGGGCTACGGCATACGCGGGGCCAACGTACTACGGCGAGGAAACTCGCCTCAAGGCAAACCCGTCGTTCACCTTTGTGACGGACTATGTAAATCACATCGACTGCAGGTGAGGTCCAGCTATGCCGCTGAGCACTTGCAGCTGCACACAACTTTGATGAGTGCTACCCTGCGCTCATCACTCTCCACGAGCTCAAGGCAGGGGCTCTGACTCCACGGCAACTACGAGATATGCGTGAAATTGGAAGCCTAGCTATTAAAGTATCCCTTGCCATAGACGCTGAGTCTGTATACAAATCGTTATCCAGCAAAGATCTTAAGATACCGACGGAACGGACTTTGCTGTGACATATCAGCTGGATACGTGAGCTCATGGATATAGCTATAGTACATAATGTGCAGTGGTGTGATATTAGAGATATGACCGCAGATGGGCATACAACAAAGGAGATTATCGATCGGGAGCTGCTTTTGGAAGTGATGTCAAGCAATCAGTCATTCAAGTACGACGTGAAGCAGTTTGTTCCATTTCGGGATCCCGAGGACAGAAACAAGCCTAAGTCGAATCAAGAATTTTTAGTCTGTCCTTGTTGCCCCCGCGGTCCAGTTTGCCAGCATGGGCGCCTAATACACAGGCGCCCTTCTAGGTGCTCGGAAACGAGCCTACCATTTCACGCTTGGTAGCGAGCCTGTTCGGTTTGGTTCAGGCTCTTTGCCTTAATATCCGTTTGCTCGGAGAGGTATAGCCCGTTTGGCTTACCTCTAGCCGGGCCGATAGCCCTTTGACGTCCAAGGGGCTATCTCGCATTTGCGTGAAATGCTTTGCGAGGAAACTCGCCTTCCAGTCTGGTGCTAGGCCAGACTGTACGCACTGTTTTTCTTGCAAACAGTCGTGCGCGCGGCCTTTGTAGAGCCTAACGGCTGCGCGGCTATACTCCCCGTCTCCTCCCCTCCCGACTTTAAGGGTAGCTCTTTGGGAGATGTTATATAGAATCGGGAGTATAGCTCGCGCGCCGTTGCCTTTGGCTCAAGGCACGCGCGCCCGATTTGCCCGGACACTGCGTGTGTTCGCTATGTGCTGGAAAGATCATTACATCGATCTTTTCCTATCTTATCCGTCCATTCCTCTTACTGAACAACCTCAGTACGATACCGGACGCTATTTGCCGTCCGCTTCCCATGGAATCGGATGCCATTTGACTTACCATAGTCACTTCACATTTAGAAGTACTGTAAAGCAGTTGCTGGAGATCTTAGCACGCCTCTGGCCCTTTGGGCCGGCGAATTTATGTGCCCATTCCGATCCTACCGCTTGGCATCGCTTTATCTCGATGCCGGCCTCAGGGATCCCCTCGATTTCCGAGGGCGCACCCCTTGGATTGTCGTCGCCTCTCTTGGCTTGCCAATCCTAGGGGTAGACATGCGCCCGAGGCTGGCTCACTGAGTGGCGAGTGGATCCTTTCTGTGCCCGTTCCGCTCCTGCCGACGAGAGGGCGCCACCGCGCCAGCCGCGCCGGCTCTGGCCCGCGCGCCTCGGCCGCGGGCAGTGCGCGCGGGCGCCGGCCGCGCCGGCGCGCGGGCGGGCCACTGTTCGGTGTGCTCACGGCGCCGAGGGTCGAGGGGTCTGGGCGTTTGGACGTCGTTGCGTTTTTGTCCCCATGCGGTCGGGCCGGGGCACGGGATCGAGGTCGGTTCGGAGAGGGTGCCCCATTGTGCTTTGTGTCTGTCGGGTGTTCTGGTGCATCCGGGGGGGGAGGGCCTTCGAAGGTGCCTCAGCTTGGCCGGCGGAGGGTCCCATGTTTTTGGAGGATGCTATTGTGTTCTAGGTCCGGCCGTATCCTGAGATGGGCTTCCTGTTCTTACTCAGACGCTTTCGATTCCTCCTCCTCCTCCTCCTCCTCCTCCTCCTCGTCTTCCTCCTACTCCTCGTTTCCCATTTGCTGAGATGGGGCAGAGATGGGGCATCCTTGACACTCAGGCTCCCTCATGCCCAGGCCCGCTCATACTCGGATTGCTCACACACTCACTCACACACTCAGATTTATTTTTACTCAGACGAGTTCGCTTTCGTACTGAGGCTCATGCGCACCGACTCGGGCCTTTGACGTCGTTGTGGTCTGTGGTCTGCCTCTCGGGGCGCCCCCGCCGCCGCCGCGCTGGCCGCCGAGGGCCTCGCAGCCGCCCAGGGCCTCGCGTACAGTCAACCCGCACAGCAAGGATGTCCAACTTCCCAAGGTTGCCCCAGGTTTCGTAATAAAGGACGGGGGGTCTCATTTCGGGGGGGGGGGGGTCTCTTCCAGGCTATCTTGGAGGGCCTGGGGGGTCTGGGGACGATGTTTTGGCTGGTTCTCCCACGGGGGAGGTCTGAAATGGCTTGTCTTGGAGGATCCAGACCCCCTCCCTTTTATCACGAAATCTGGAGTACCCGTTGCAGCCTGCCCCTTTGGCCCATCCTTGGCCGCTTTCGCTGGCCGCGCCCCGCTCGCAACGTGCCGAGATGGCCGTCCCAAGGCCCCTGCATCCTTCTCGTGCGTCTTTCTCATGTATGGTGTTCTTGCACCGTTCCACGGCGCGGGCGCTCGGAGGTCCCGAGACTCCTTCCCGGGCACCCGCATCTCGCCCCATTGTCGTTTTCATCGGGTGTGTCAGTGCAGCCCCCGCGACGTTGCTAAATTTCGCTTGGGCTGTTCCTTCTTGGCTGGCGCGACTAAGGAGGAGGGTCCAGGGAAAAGGGGGAGCGATGACGACGACGACGACGACGACGACGACGACGACGACGACGACGACGACGACGACGACGACGACGACGACGACGACATCGACGACGACGACGACGACGACGACGACGACGACGACATCGACGACGACGACGACGACGACGACGACGACGACGAGTCGAACGAAACAGATTTCGCACACGCCGTCAGCATCGGCGGAGGTCGTCGACCAGGGCCGCCTAGGATCCGATTCTATGCGACTCGATTCGCCAGCCAGGGCCGCGATTCGAATTCGACTCGATTCGAGTCGGCTCGATTCGCCGACCCAGGGCCAGCCAGAGCCAAGCGCAGCGATCCGATCTCGATTCGACTCGGGACGATCCCCCGGCGATGCGACCCAATCAAAGACTCAACTGTCCGATATCAAACTCTCTCGATGTGTTTAAGTTGCACCTGACCCGGTCGAGCGTGCTTCACTCGAGGGAGATCTCCCTCTCGACACCTCGACTACACGTAAGAGTGACCTTTCGCCGAAGTGACCTTTGGTGCGGGCCCAACCGATCGCTGAGCACGAAGCGGTAGCAGCGGCTTGCGCGCCCAGGTTTGGCCACCCCGCGTCCCCCGTTTTGCCGCGCACCAAAGGTCACTCTTACCCAGGGTCACTCTTACGTGTAGCCGAACACCGGTTCCGATCCGACCCGACCCGGCGAGGCGATCCAGCGCAGGCCTCGATGCCACGGCGGTGGGCCTCCGCCGGACGCTGCAGAGGCCCCCTCCCCGGGGCCCGCCCTCCCGCCCCGAGCCGGCCTCCGGCAGCCGGCCTGCCTGGCCGGGTGCAGGGCCCGCCCCCCCCCCCTGCCGTGACATTGCCAGCAGAAAAACACGCAGGACCAGAGCCCCAGAGGCTCCATCTGTTTGCTGGATTTCTCAAATCGGACCGACCTGTGAGGGCCCCGGGGCCCGAAGCACGGCAAAGTCGCCCGGTGCGAAAAAAATTGCAAACTGGGCACCCCCATGGACGCCCCTCGGCGAGGCGCAGCTGCTGGAGAGCACCACGAGGCTGGAAAACGATTGCCGGGAACCTGCGATAGAGAGCACCCGAAACCCCCGGGAAATTCGAAGGCTCCGGGGCCCTCCTTCTGCAGCCGATGGCCGCGGCGGCGCTCGCGGGCCGCCGCGGCTGCCCTCGGCGGGGTGGCCGCGGCGTCCGCCCGGCGGCCGCGCTGGCCTGCGCGCTGCCGCCGCTGCTGCTCTCAGGGGCCGCGGTGCCGCCGCTCCCGGCGGCCCCGCGGCCGGGGCCCGCGGCGCGGCGGTGGCCTTCCGTGGGGGTGCACGGCCCGCACGCATCGCACCCCAGACGCGAACGACCTGCACGCACCGTAGCCCAGCATCGTTGATGCCCCTGTGCCCATCCCCATCCCTGTCCAGACCCCCCCACCATCTCAGCACCCCAGTTGGGGACATGCCCGTCGGGAACCCCAAGGAAGCGACCTGCACCTCCATCTAAAGGGGCAGGTCGGCCTGTGGGGGCCAAGCCACGCCCATGGAGATAGGGGTCGGATAAACGATGCTCAGTCTCCCGAGGCCTCGTCGAGTCCCGACCCAGGAGCGGCAGTGGTGCATATGTCTGCGGCCCTCGGAGCCGAAAGACTATGTACCGTACCGCGTCGGAGCGAGGCCTGGAGGGAGTCCGAGCACGGTACGGTGCACGGTCGCTGTTCTCGTGCGAAGGGGAACACCAATTCTACAAACATGAGAGCATGATTTCCCAGAGCTTCTTTGGATCGGCGTTGGGCCGCTTGACGGCGTCTCCGCCCCCGGCGCGCTCCGCGCCGATCCAAGACGCCCGCGAGGAGCTCGGAGAAGTCGTGCTGCGGTGCAGCTCGTTGGCTCCTCTGCAGCAGGTGCTGATCTCCACCTTCGAGCGGCCGGGGCTGCTGCTGGAGGCCCTGGCGCAGGCCCCGCCGTGACCTCCAAGAGGCCTCCCAGGTGGGGCCTGGGCGCCTCTCCCCGAGCTCGGCCGCCGCTCTCGGGCGCCGGGGCCAGCAGCAGCGGATCCGGGGCCCGGCGGAGCCGCATCCGTTTTACTATCGGGCGGGACGAAAGGGGGGGATTGGGAAAGGGGGGGGGTGCGAAATTTGCTGCATGCAGCTGATTTCGGCTTCACCGAGGGGCCCCTTCCTCGATACATGGGCGCCTCCCGGCGCCGGCCTTTCGCCCGACCCGATTTACTCCCGCCGCCTTCTGGCAGCCTCCCGCCGCCTTCCGCCGAGGAAGAGATGGCAGCTCCTTCGATCCTCCAAGGCGAGGCCCTCTCTGGGGCGCCCCACATCAATGACCCTTGGGGGCAACTCAAGGAAAAAACTTGAGCGGCCCAGGATCGCCAGCGCCGCGTCTCTTGGCATCATGCGGCTCGGGGAGGGGCGAAGGATTGGCCCCGCGGAATTGGTCGGGACCTCCAGGACCGCTGGTGGATCCCCTGGCGCAGGTCCGGAAGTTGGCAGGTTTCTGAGAATTTCCTCCTTGGAAGCCTCTGGCCCTCTTAGGACCCCTGGTGCGCGCCGCCAGCCTTCGGGGACCGTGCATTGCCGCCGTCCTCCAGATCGGGACCGCCGCCCCATAGATGGAGGCGACACCGCCGATGTGTCGGTGATGTGATGGTGCCAACCCTCCTGGGCCTCACATGAGCCCCACCTCCGAGCGGCCAGGGCTGTGCTACGTGAAGGCCTATGGCGCAGGGCTGGCCGCGCAACAAAGGCCCAGAGCTCCGTCGATGTGCGACTCGCTTGGCCTGGCTGGCTTTTACCCTCCCACTTCTTGCGTTGGACAGGCGCTGGCTTGCGTGAGCCTTCGCGTCGCGTCTTCACGCGCACAGGGCAACAGAAACCACGACGAGGGCCAAGTGCGATACGATCAAAGCGTGCGACAGAAGTGCAGCACGAAATAGAAAGAATGGACAACGAGAGTGGAATAATCGGGAAAACGTGAGACTCGAGTAAGCCGGATCTCTGTTTTGCCGACGTTCTTTTTAAGAGCGCGTCTTGGTTTCTGACAGTCCAGTTTTCGTGGGATGTTTGCAGCGGGACCTCGCGTCAAATTTCAAATTTGGTCTCGCCATCTTTGTTGATGGCCCCGTCAGGCCAACCCGAGTCCCCCGAACCCGAGTCTTGGGAGCCAAGCCCCGGCCCCCGCCCCTCCTCACCCCAGCGGCAGAGCATCGCTGGGGGGGGGGGCGGGCGGGGGGGGGGGGGGCGCCACAGCCAAAAGGCCTCCTCCTCCAGTCCGGAGGGGGCGGGGGGGCGCCACTTCCAAAAGGTCTCCTCCTCCTCCTCCTCCTCCTCCTCCTCCTCCTCCTCCTCCTCATACTCCTCCTCCTCCTCCTCCTCCTCATACTCCTCCTCCTCCTTCTTTTCCTCCGTCCGATTTCCTCTTGGAGATCGCTCATCCCTGTCGTTGCTTCCAGAGCTCGGCCCTCGAGGGCCCTTTTGCGGGCCCCGGGCGAGTCGGCAGCTCCTCTCTGGGGAGGGGCGGCGCCGGCGCAGGCCTCGCCAGGAAGCCAGGCGTCTTAGCTGTAGGCTCCGAGATGGTGGGGTCGGAATGATCGCGCCGCACCGCCGATGCATCGGCGGTGCGGCGATGCGGCTCGACGTGGAGTCCGATGTTCTGCACGCCGACCTCGCCGATGCATCGCCGACGTCGCCAGTGCATCGCCGATGCGTCGGCGGTGCGCCGCGATCCTCCGGCCCCATCGACTCGGAGCCGATTCAGGGTGCCTCCGCTGCAGGGAAGGGGTCTTCAGGAAAACGGATTCTGAATTCGTTTTCCGTTTTCTGACACGCTCGGGACCCTCCCCGGGCCCGGACACCGTCGACAAACGACCAGGGATGCAGGCGTGGTTTTGGGGGAAGGCTCAAGGTGGAGGCATTGGCGCAGGTTCGAACAAGAAAACGCGGCATCTACACAAACTTTCGGAGGCCTTGTCGGATCTCTTGGATCGGCGCTGGGCCCCTCCTTGCGGAGCCTCTGGCGCCGCCCTTGGCGCGGTGCCCAGCGTCGCTCAAACCGGAAAAACGTGCGGACATCCGAGAGTGAAGGCTTTCTTGCACTCTTCTCTCTTGGCGTTTCGCTGGAGGGTTCCCATAGACGCGAAAAAGGGACCACAGTAGAGACGCTACATGTTTGCGACCCTGTGTCTAGAAAGTTCACCAAGGTTCACATGGCCGTGCTCTCACCCCTGTCTTGGCTGCACATTTCCTGCTATTCGGTTGCTCTGTTGAGGCCGTCCTTATGGCGCAGAACATCGCTGCGGCGCTTGTCCACCTTCCCCCACGGCTGGACGGGCTTCTGCCCGGCAAGGCGACGTCTCGTATCGTATTGTCTCCTCTCCTGCAGGTCGCGGCCCAGGACTACGGCGGCGACGTGGAGGCCGTCGTGGTGGACGACAGCGCGGAGTCCCTGGAGGGAAGGCTCGAGGCGGAGAGGGCTGGCGGCGGAGATCTCCCGCCGCTCCGCTACATTCGTCGAAGAATAAACAGCGACCAGAACCAGAAGCTGTCGGAGATCCGCGCGGATTTCTCGGATCGGCGCTAGGCTCTCCTGGCGGCGCCTCCGCGCACCAGGGAGGGGAGTCCAGCGCAGATCCGAGAAGTCAGCGCGGAGGTCCGAAAGTTCCTGGTCAGGGCCGATTTTGCTCCTCGAACTCCCGGGGGTTGCTAGACTGAAGTCGGGCACGTCCTTCTACAGAAGGAATATTCCATGGACGATGTTTCTACTAATTGTTTGACTAGTTCTGAATACGTTTGACTATTCTTTGTTTGTCGTCCAAAACAAACCTGTGGGAGGACACGCCCGACGAATGCTAGACAGTTATCCCTGGCCCAAGGTGTTCCCAGGACTTCCAGGGAGGCCCCCGCTGCTTCCAGAGAAGCCCTCGCGAGGCCCCGTGGACTCCAGGGGCTCCCGCATGGAGCGAAGGGCCGGGAACACTTTGGGCCCTGGGCCAACGGCGCCTCTGGCAACGCCCGGCAATGTCTACCTCGGCGAGCGCGCGACCATCGGGGCGAAGCGCAACCTGGCCGCCAGGAGCACGGCGGCGGAGGTCCTGTGCGTGTGGGACGACGACGACGTGTTCACGAGGCACAGGCTCCGGAGACAGGCTCGCCCGGGGGGGGGGGGGGGGGCAGGCGAGGCCCCGGAGGGGCGGCGAGCTCAGGCAGCGGTGGCTGGCCTTCGGGGGGGGGGGGGGAGGCCCTCGTCGCCGAGGCCGGGCGCAGCTCTCGGAGAGCTGGTGCGCCCAGGCCCCGGGAGGGGTCCCGGGGGACCGATTCTGAAGGACGGGGGACTGGAGCCGCATGCCTTTCGGAGGGTGTTTTCCATGTCTCATTTCCCTCCTCCTCTGTTTTTCACCTTCTCCTATACCTCCTCTTCCTCCTCCTCCTCCTCCTCCTCCTCTTCCTCCTTCCTCTCTTCCTCCTCCTCCCCCTCCTCCTCCCCCTCCTCCTCCTCCCCCTCCTCTCCTCCTTCCTCCTCCTCCCCCAGAATCGAGCTTTTTGCTGCTCCTGCCCCCCCCAGAGAGAGAGAGAGAGAGAGAGAGAGAGAGAGAGAAAAAAAAAAAAAAAATACTCCCTATTCTCCTCCGCGTTGCCCCGCTCTCCTCATTCCTCTCTCCTCCGCCCTCCTCCTTCCCTCCCCCAGAATAGCGCTTTTTGCTCTTCCTGCGCCCCCCCCCAAAAAACAAACAAGCGGAGCAGCATCCCGTTTTGTTTTTTGAGGGGGGGTGGACTCTACTCTCCTCCGCGTTGCCCCGCTCTCCTCATTCCTCTCTCCCCCGCCCTCCTCCTTCCCTCAGCCAAAATCGCGGTTTTTGCCCCCCCCCCACACACACCAACTGGGTAGTCGAAGGCCAGACTGTCAGATTGGATTGGGCCCCAAGGGCCAATCTGGCCTGGCCAAACTGGAGGATTTGGGTTATTCGCCAGACTGGATTCGCGCTGGCTCCCTCGCCAGATTGCCCCCGTTTGCCAGATTGGGCCTGCCAGATTGGCGCCAGATTGGCTTCGACTACCCAGACCCAAAAAACGGCGCGACCTCCTGTTTGTTTTTTCTTATGTATGTATATTTGGGGGGGAGGGGGGGAGCGCCTCGCTCCCCCGCCATCCTCCTCCTCCTCCTCCTCCTCCTCCTCCTCCTCCTCCTCCTCCTCCTCCTCCTCCTCCTCCTCCTGCTTCCCCCAGAATATAGCTTTCTGCTATTGAGATGCTTCGAAAGAAAGAAATACCCCGCTTGGCATTGCATTGGCATTGGTTTGGCCATGGTTTGGCATCTCATTGGCATTGCGTTGGCATAACGCGTGGCAGTTCGTTGGCATCGCGCTTGCATGTCGCAAACACTGCGCTGGCGGATCCGAATGGAACCCCCCACAAAAGGACTCATATTGAAGCCCTCTACCAGAAGCACTCCGATTGAAACCCTCCACAAAAAGGGTTCATTCATATTGAAACCCTACACAGAAGGATTCCATGCGACGCCCTCCACAAAAAGGATTCCTACTGAAACCTATCACACATGCTTTCCCCCATTGGCATTGCATTGACATTGGCTTGGGAGCGCCTTGGCATTAGGTTGGCACTGCTTTGGCATTGCGCTGGCCCTGCGCTGGCGAGTTCCATTAGCTCCCTTCGCAGAATGATTTCGATTGAACCCCACACGAGAAGGATTCCGATTGAAGCATTATACAAGAAGGGTTCATATTGAACCCATTCGAAGCCCTCCATATAAGGAATCCGATTGAAACTGACCACAAGCGATTTCCCCCAGGCATTTCATCGGGATTGGATTGGGATTGCCATGGCATTGGTTTGGCATTGCGTTGGCACTACTTTGGCGTCGCGCTGGCGAGTTCTAATGGCTTCCACCATAGAAGGATTCCTATTGAAACCTTCCACACGAAGGGTTCCTTTTGATAGCCCCCACATGAAGGGTTCATGGTCAGACCCTCCACCGAAAGATTCCTGCAGGAACCCTCCGCAAGAAGATTCCTATCGACATATTCCGAAGATGGATCCGTAACCAAATCATCCACAGAAGGATTTCTGTTGGAATCTGCTGAAAGACTGGAATCATGCCATCGGCATCACATTGGCATTGGCTTGTTGACTGTTTGGCATCGCATTGGTATTGCGTTGGCATTGCGATGGCGGTGCGTTGGCATTGCGATGGCATTGCGCTGGCGAGTCCCAACCAAAAACGCTCCACATAAGGATTCCGATTAAATACGTCCACAAGAATGGTGCCTACGGACCCCCCCACACAATAAGGATTCGCATTGCAATCCTCCACAGAAGGGTTCATGCGAATCCCTCCACAGAAGGATGCATAGTGAAATCCTCCGAAGAAGGATCCTTAGCAGGATTCCTTTGTGTACAACATCATCCACAGAAGGGTTATTAGAAAGATTGCCATTGAACGCTACCACAAGCAATCCACCCCATTGGCGTTGCACTGGCATTAAGGTTGGATCGCCTTGGCGTTGGTTTGGCATTGGCACTGCGTCGGCATTGCGTTGGCGAGTCCTAATGCACCCCTTCGCAGAACGATTCCGATTGAAACCCTGCACAAGCAAGATCCTGTTTGGAATGTATAACGAAGGGTTCACCCCCCATTGGCATTGCATTGGCATTGGATTGGGACCGCCTTGGCATTGGTTTAGCACTACGATGGCACTGCTTAGGCATTGCGTTTGCATTGCGCTGGCGAGTCCTAATGGCTCCCTCCGCAGAAGGGCTCCTACCGAACCCCCCACAAGAAGGATTCCCAGTGAAGCCCTCTACAGGAGGATCCCTATCGAAACCCTCCACAGAGGCATTCCGATTGAAATCCTCCGAAGAAGGATTCGTATTGACACCGTCCCTAAAGGATTATCATTAACATCCACCGAGCGGAATGATTCCCCCATTGGCATTGGATTGGGCAGTGCGTTTGCATTGCGCTGGCGTTGCGCTAGCGAGTCCTTGTGCCTCCCTTCGCACAACGATTCCTATTGAAACCCTCCAGAAATAGGACTCCTTTTAACATCTACCACAACGGCTCCCCCCCATTGGCTTTGCATTGGCATTGGATTGGGATCGCCTTGGCATTGGTTTGCCATTGCGATGGCATTGCTTAGACATTGCGGTGGCATTGCGCTGGCGAGTCCTATGGCTCCCTCCGCAAAAGGGGCAGCTGGAAGGTTTACAGTCAACCCGCAAAGTAAGGATGGCCAGTATTTCCAAGGGTACCCTTGCATCCTTGCCCCTTCGGCCCATTCTTGGCGACTTGCGCGGGCCAACCTCGCTCGAAAAACGTTGACATGGCGTTCCAAGGCCCTTGCATCCTTACTGCGCATCCGTATGCTGCGGGTTGACTGTATACGCTCACGGTGCCACCGTGAGGTATAAATTTTCCAGTTGCCTTGAGACAGGTGACCCCGAGGGCGAAAACAGATTATTTTGTACCGTTCTTCGCCCGCTATCTATCTCCTGATCGGGGCTGCCCTCCCCGCGATGGTGCAGACTACACGCCGACGACGGTCGTTGAAACTATATATTTGTGGACTCCTGATCCCAGTCTGCTTCAAGCGCCTTCCCACTTCATAAATCGAGATGCTTACCCTTGTGTCCTTCGTGGTTTGGCGGTCCACCTGGGGACGTTGTTCGCTGTGGGAATCTCAATATCCATGGGGCCTTGTTTCGACGTTACCCCAACATATTGATACTATGTGTGCGTCGCCTGCCCCCCAGAGGCGACCCTTACTGAACCCCCCACAAGAAGAAGGATTCCCAGTGAAGCCCTCAGCAGGAGGATCCCTATCGAAACCCTCCACAGAGGCATTCCGATTGAAATCCTCCGAAGAAGAATTCGTAATGACACCGCCCACAAAGGATTCTCATTAAACTCCACCGAACGAAAGGATTCCCCCGTTCACATTGCATTGGCAGTGGCATTGGTTGGCAATGTATTGGTATCGCATCGGCATGCATTGGCCTGGTGCAGGAGATCGACAGAGAGAGACAAAGAGAGAGAGAGAGAGAGAACACTACATAACGATATAACGAGAGAAGCATATTATGAGGGGATCACGGCGACATGAGAAGATTATAAAGATGAAGGAGCGTTCCACTCGATAAAAAGCCATATCAAAACGACGTGCGACCCCACGATCCCCCAGCCTCCGACTCCGAGCTGCCATGGTCTCAGCTCGCCCCGCTCCGCAGAGAGAAGCGGGGGCGCACGACGGCGAGGAGAGCCTGGGCCGCCCACGCGCGGTCGGAGCAGGCGGGGTCGGAGGGTCCCGTCGGGCCGCACCGCCGATGCACTGGCGACGCGGCCCGTGACGGCCGTGGGCGCCCCCGCCCCGCGGCCCCTGGCAGGGCCAGGGCTGCTCCCCCCGGGGGGGGCGCTCCCCGCGGAAGGCCCCGGCCCGCCGGAGGCTGCTCGGGGCCACATCTTGCACAGGGCTGCGGCCCCTCGGGGCACACTCTGTGCACCCTGTGGTCCCCCCATGGGGGGAGCACAGGGTGCACGGAGTGTGGGGGTGCCCGAGCGTGCCGCGAGGGTTCAGCCATTCGCTGAGTGTGAGCCGCAGGCGCCAGGCGCAAGGGGCTGATAGGGACAGTGCCGCTTCAGGACGGCATCCCGAAGTTGGACGCAGGCACCCCACCCCCATGCCTCGCAGGCCCTTGGTCGACGATTCTACGGTCCAAAGGTTTGGGGCTCCGCTTTGGATTTACATTATGATGTTGATTGTGTAGCAACTCGTTTGGCGTTTTATCACCCTGCCTCGAGTGAGGTGACGCTCGATCGTTCCCTCGTGGCCTTCTCCTTCTGGGCCGGGCATGCCTGGTCAGTGAGGACGGCTCGTCTCGCTGCCGTGATGCTTTGCTTGGCGATCGCGTGGCGCCTCACCACATGTATTACGTTCGGGGAAGCGTAAGACTCAAGCCGGAACTCGGGTTAGCCGACATGTTTTGACGAGCGCGTCCTGGATTTTGACGGTCCAGCTTTCGTGGGATGCTTGCAGCGGGAGTTCGCGTCAAATTTCGAATTGGGCCCCGTCACTTTTTGTGATGGCCCCGTCAGGCCAACCCGAGTCCCCCGTATCCGAGTCTTACGTCTACCCGATATGTGAGCGGTTGTGCGTTCTCACGTGTTCCCCTCGCCCGTGTCCATCCCGACATCGATTCTTCCTGTCGCTGCATGTGTTCGCTGCTTCTCGATCCTCCTCCTCCTCCTCCTCCTCCTCGATCCTCCTCGGTGCTCCCTGCACCTCGACCCTCCTCCTGCTCGACACTCCTAATCCTCCTCGATCCTCCTCCTCCTCGATCCTCCTAATCCTCCTCGATCCTCCTCCTCCTCCTCCTCGATCCTCCTCCTCCTCGATCCTCCTCCTCCTCCTCGATCCTCCTAATCCTCCTCGATCCTCCTCTTCCTCCTGCGATCTGTCGCATGACGACATGTGCAGCCAAGATGAATGTTGCCATCCCGCCTCCTGCGGTCTGCGATATGACGGCATGTGCATCCAAGGTGGATGCTGTTCCCCCCCCGTCGGCGGTCGCCGTTGGGGGAGGTGATCAGACTAAGCCTGCAGAGATGAAGAACAAAGAAAACGAACGTGGCACGAGGCGTGCCTCCGGGGCGAGGGTGATTGCGTCCTCCAACCCCCCAGTGGGTGGACGGAGAAGAGTGAGCGACGGAAAGGGACGACATTGCGAAAAACCTCGGGAGGACAGGAGGGCAGGACGAGGGGGAGTGGTGGGTGGCTAGGCGGCGGGGTGCGAGGCGATGGTGGTGCGACTGCGGCCGCGGCCGCACTCGCCAGGCTCCTGTGATCCGTGGGCCACTCCTACAAGACGGGCCCTGGTCCCACTCAGGGGACCCGCACCCGCCGAGGCAGGCAGCGAGTTCCGTTGGGGAGATTGGGGGCTATCGAGGAGTGCCCACCGGGAGTGGAGGAGGGTTTGCGCCATCCGGGGCGGCGGCCGCATCTGCGGCCACAGGAGGCTGTCAGCTGCAGTCCCCCCCCCCATCAGCATGCGCGGTTCCCCCCCACACCCCCGCTGTTGGTTGGTCGGAAGTGTGGCATGAGGCTGGGGTTGATGAGAGGGGCAGGACGTGGCGAGGCCGAGGTGGATATTCAATCTCGATCCTCCTCGATCCTCCTCGATCCTCCTCCTCCTCCTCCTCCTCCTCCTCCTCCTCCTCCTCCTCCTCCTCCTCCTCCTCCTCGAGCCTCCTCGAGCCTCCTCGAGCCTCCTCGAGCCTCCTCGAGCCTCCTCGGCCCTCCTCCGCGCCTTGACCCTCTTCCCGCGGCAGGGGCCGCGCGGAAGTGTCTCACGCGTGGCCTCCCCCTCCCCGGCAGAGGTGGAGCACCTGCTGGGCTGGGACGGCGGGGGCGGCGTGCCCTGCTCGGGCATCGAGGCAGGCCAGCCACAGCCGGGGGAGCCCGAGGTCCTCGCCCCCCCTCGGGGCCCCTCGGGCTCGACACCCCTCTCGAGGGACCGTCGACACGATGGGCCCCTCCCCGGGGGGGGGGTGCAGGGAGCACGGCTCCCACAGCTGTGCCTGTTCGGCCAGGTGGCGTACATGTACTCGGTGCCGACGCGGGGGCTGAGCTTCCGCCCGCCGCGCCTCCCACAGCTGGTGTTCGAGAACACCCTGTGTTTCCCCGGGTCGGTCGACCTGGGGGGGGGATGGGGAGGCGGGGGAGTCTAGGCCTCCCAGATGGGGTCCGAGTCGACGGGGTCGGAGGATCGCGCCGCATCGCCGATGCATCGCCGGTGCGGCTCGATGTGGAGCCCGTGCTTCCCCGCCCCGACGTCACCGGTGCATCGCCGACGTCGCCGATGCATCGCCGATGCATCGCCGATACATCGGCGATGCATTGGCGATGCTGCACGATCCTTCGACACCATCTACTCGGACCCCATCCAGGAGGCCTCTAGGGAGGGGGGGAGCGACATCTGCTGCACGTCAGAGGAGGGAAGGTCGCGGAACCGCTGCCCCTGCCTCGTGCTCCTCTTCTCGGGGCCTCCTGGGGGGCCTCGCCGCCACCGGTGGATTCGCCGCAGGATTCGGGTCCGAACGTGCCCTGGGAGAGGTCCGGGGAACAGCGGCATCGACACATTTGGGTGACCCCAGCATGCAGCCGGTGACATCTCCCCCGCCGGGCGCTCTCCTGGATCTAGTCACGCCTTCAGAGCCAGGAAGCGCCAGGACAATCGACTATGTGCACTGATTCGCTCATCCGCCTCCTCACTAAGCCCCCATGTCCTCCGACCTGAGCTTCACGCGCGACTGGTGGACGTCGGGCGGCCACGGCTTCGGAGAGCCGTGGGAGGTGTCGGGCCAGGGCGAGGGCACCCTGGAGCCCTGGTGGGAGCAGGTCTGCCCTCTGACCGGGGACCAGGCCCCCTTCCTCTACATTATCGAAGGAGTGAACTCTGCACGAGCACAGATCTTCGGAGGTTCGCGCGGGCTTCCTGCATCGGCGCCGGACACCCTGGCGTCGGCTCAGGCGCCGCCCCCAGCACGCTCCACGCGCCATGGGGGCGGAGGACGGTCCAGCACCGATCCAGGACAACAGCACATACCTCCAAAGGTGTATGTTTATGCAGTTGTCCCTGCTTCCGCTACGTCTACCTGCACTCGTCCGTCTCCGGCGGCACCCCGATCTTCCACGAGGCGCGCCCTG